CTAATCTTTAGAGATTTTGTTAGATCTTTTGGCTTTGGAGAGTTTAAAAGTAAAGCGACTTATTATTGGCGCAGTGTTTCGCAGACTTCAATGGAACTTTTTCCACTGACTTTTAAGGAACAAAATTAAGACGAACGTTTAAGTATTTAAATTTAAGAATCGCTATACCTCCTAGAAACATTAGATTGTTCGAGATCAAGGCCATTGCCTTGTACATGAACTGGGATTTTTGCGGTATTAAACATGGGAGTCCATTAAACTGATTTAGGAGCTTATTTTTTGCATTCGTTTATCGTTTTCTGTTCTTCGGAACTCTTGAAAATTTCACAAGGTTTCGATAAATTACCAAAGAAGATTGGATCAGTGGAAAATATCACCGCTTTATGCAGTCGACTCCTTGTCATACACTTTAACTAGGGAAATATTTCATAGTGATTTAATATCATCTAAGGCAAAGACTTTCCTGATCTTTTTAAAATTCAACTACGGCATATGATTACTTACTTTACGATGGGACTGGGACAGACTTTCCCGAACATAAACTTGAGAATCTTTTCAACTTATCTTCGTTTGTGAAATGAAGAAGTCGCATCTATATATGGTTCAACTAAGACAAATGATTACTTGATCTACTTTGGAACTAGGACAGACTAAGTTATTTGCTTTGGAACATTTGGAAAAGGAATGGAAACTTTATCCAGCGACGTTTGGAGATCAAATTCAAGACGATCGTATTAGTATAACATCGAGAAATTCTCGTACGTCTACGAAGCTTTAGATCGTTAGGCATCATCTCAGTCGATTCCTTGCTGTCAACAAAAACACGGACTTTTGCAGACTTAAACGTGTAAGAAACTTTAGATCGTTAGGCATCATCTCCGTCGATTCCTTGCTGTAAACAATAACTCGGACTTTTGCGGACTTAAACTTGGGATACCAAGCAGATATATGTCAAGGATCTTCTCTAGGTTCGTCTAAGAAATCGAACTTTTGAAGTTAGTAAGGAAATGTCTACTTTTTGTACTGCTTTATGCGATTCAAGAACATAATAGCGGAGAGACGACTAGTAGCAATTCTAAATTACATTCTTTCCTCACAACATATTTTCCTCAGTGTCTTTAGTTAAATTTTCCATTCACTTTTTTATTTCATTTGTTTTATTTAGTTTTTTTTTCATCAAAGAAAACCACAACATCAACCCAACAACACACTTACAACTTTTTTCTTTTTGCACAATTGTGCAACATGTACAACAACGTTGGACTTCATCAAAAAGCAACGTAACAAGAAGGCAAGCTAGCAATTGATTGTGGCACATAAACAGCAACAACAAAAAATATATATAAAAAAGAAAAATAGAAAAAAAAATAAATAAAAAACAACTTCGATTTCATGACGATCATCAACGTTGAACGTGAAAAGCGGAAAAGTTTACTAGACAAGACAACTTAATACAGCAATACCGGCAGCAGCAACAACGACAACAACAGCAACAGCAGCAAGATAAAACTGTGCAACTAAAACCGCAAACTAATGACAACAACTGTTACAGCTTTAAAGTTTAAGCCAAATGGTGGGAAAGAGAGGCACAAAGAGAGGGACGTCCGACATATAAATAAAGTTACGATGGCGACCCACAAAACTTCAGCACTCAAAACTAAGACCATTTGTTAGATAAAGAAGAAGAAAGTAGTTTGCAAACAACTCTATATGTATGAAAAAATTTAATAAATTAAAAAGAAACTAAAAGTGAAATAGATATTTTCCAAACCATAAAGAAGAAGAAAATTAAATGCAACTACGGGTATTTGTTGCAACATTAGAGAGTTGAAACTGAGTTTTTTTATAGAAAATGAAAATTACGTAAGTAAATTGGAAAAATATCTGGTTTGCTAGCTTTTTTTCTTCTCTATTTTTTCGATCGAATACATTTCAGTTAAACAAGCCGGCTGGCTGATTGTCGAACAGTATAGCTATTTGGCTGACAGACCGACTGACTGACTGGCTGGTTGGCTGACAATCAACTAGCTAAATGAATGCACATTTTTTTGCATCCACAACTTTTTGTTGCAAGATGCAATTATAATATAATGCACGCTGTGTGAGTGTAAAACTATTGCACAATAGCTAGTTTAACGGTAAATTATGACTGCAACAGCAAAAAATACAGAGCTACAAAAATGACACAAACCAAAAAAATGAATGCTTTACTAATGTGGAGGTAGGATAATCTAGAGAGTTGCCAAGTGGCGGAAAAAGGTTTGAAAATTATTACTGATTCCATTATAGTATCTTTTATAGTCTGGTCTATAGTATAGTGTATAGTCTGGTCTATAGTTTAGTCTATAGTCTAGTCTATAGTCTAGTCTATAGTCTAGTCTATAGTCTAGTCTATAGTCTAGTCTATAGTCTAGTCTATAGTCTAGTCTATAGTCTAGTCTATAGTCTAGTCTATAGTCTAGTCTATAGTCTAGTCTATAGTCTAGTCTATAGTCTAGTCTATAGTCTAGTCTATAGTCTAGTCTATAGTCTAGTCTATAGTCTAGTCTATAGTCTAGTCTATAGTCTAGTCTATAGTCTAGTCTATAGTCTAGTCTATAGTCTAGTCTATAGTCTAGTCTATAGTCTAGTCTATAGTCTAGTCTATAGTCTAGTCTATAGTCTAGTCTATAGTCTAGTCTATAGTCTAGTCTATAGTCTAGTCTATAGTCTAGTCTATAGTCTAGTCTATAGTCTAGTCTATAGTCTAGTCTATAGTCTAGTCTATAGTCTAGTCTATAGTCTAGTCTATAGTCTAGTCTATAGTCTAGTCTATAGTCTAGTCTATAGTCTAGTCTATAGTCTAGTCTAATAGTCTAGTCTATAGTCTAGTCTATAGTCTAGTCTATAGTCTAGTCTATAGTCTAGTCTATAGTCTAGTCTATAGTCTAGTCTATAGTCTAGTCTATAGTCTAGTCTATAGTCTAGTCTATAGTCTAGTCTATAGTCTAGTCTATAGTCTAGTCTATAGTCTAGTCTATAGTCTAGTCTATAGTCTAGTCTATAGTCTAGTCTATAGTCTAGTCTATAGTCTAGTCTATAGTCTAGTCTATAGTCTAGTCTATAGTCTAGTCTATAGTCTAGTCTATAGTCTAGTCTATAGTCTAGTCATAGTCTAGTCTATAGTCTAGTCTATAGTCTAGTCTATAGTCTAGTCTATAGTCTAGTCTATAGTCTAGTCTATAGTCTAGTCTATAGTCTAGTCTATAGTCTAGTCTATAGTCTAGTCTATAGTCTAGTCTATAGTTTAGTCTATAGTCTAGTCTATAGTCTAGTCTATAGTCTAGTCTAGTCTATAGTCTATTCTATAGTCTATTCTATAATCTAGTCTATAGTCTAGTCTATAGTCTAGTCTATAGTCTAGTCTATAGTCTAGTCTATAGTCTAGTCTATAGTCTAATCTATAGTCTAGTCTATAGTCTAGTCTATAGTCTAGTCTATAGTCTATCTATAGTCTAGTCTATAGTCTAGTCTATAGTCTAGTCTATAGTCTAGTCTATAGTCTAGTCTTAGTCTAGTCTATAGCCTAGTCTATAGTCTAGTCTATAGTCTAGTCTATAGTCTAGTCTATAGTCTAGTCTATAGTCTAGTCTATAGTCTAGTCTATAGTCTAGTCTATAGTCTAGTCTATGGTCTAGTCTATAGTCTAGTCTATAGTCTAAACTATAGTCTAGTCTATAGTCTAGTCTATGGTCTAGTCTATAGTCTAGTCTATAGTCTAGTCTATAGTCTAGCCTATAGTCTAGTCTATAGTCTAGCCTATAGTCTAGTCTATAGTCTAGTCTATAGTCTAGTCTATTCTATAGTCTAGTCTATAGTCTAGTCTATAGTATAGTCTATAGTCTAGTCTATAGTCTAATCTATAGTCTAGTCTATAGTCTAGTCTATAGTCTAGTCTATAGTCTAGTCTAGTCTTGTCTATAGTCTTGTCTATAGTCTAGTCTAGTCTATGGTCTAGTCTATAGTCTAGTCTAATCTAATCTAATCTAATCTAATCTAATCTAATCTAATCTAATCTAATCTAATCTAATCTAATCTAATCTAATCTAATCTAATCTAATCTAATCTAATCTAATCTAATCTAATCTAATCTAATCTAATCTAATCTAATCTAATCTAATCTAATCTAATCTAATCTAATCTAGTCTAGTCTAGTCTATAGTCTAGTCTGTAGTCTAGTCTATAGTCTAGTCTATGGTCTAGTCTATAGTCTAGTCTATAGTCTAGTCTATGGTGTAGTCTATAGTCTAGTCTATAGTCTAGTCTATAGTCTAGTCTATAGTCTAGTCTATAGTCTAGTCTATAGTCTAGGCTATAGTCTAGTATATAGTCTAGTATATAGTCTAGTCTATAGTCTAGTCTATAGTCTAGTCTATAGTTTAGTCTATAGTTATTTCGGAGCAATAACATATGTGGCTATATCGAGATGTTTGAATCTATACTACCCAGAGTTCCAATGTTAATTGGACTTTTATTTAAATAAATATGTGGCAACTCTTTCCCCACGAAAATCGTAGCAAATATTTTAGCAACACTATATAGTAATATGTTGCAACTTGACGTTTGTAATGAAAACTCTAATGTATAGGCATGTCAGCACGATGAAAAAAAGTTCAGTATGTTATGTGTACAAAGTTTGTAAATGTATAAGATCCCCACAAGTATTTCTTACTCAAAAACCATCTAGTTTAGAGGTCTTGAACCCCGTTTAAAAACGTTAAGGATTACAATTATACACATCCATACATTATAACAAATGTTAAGCCTTTATAAACCATAGTTTTATGTAGAGTTTTTGAAACGATTAATTGCGGAAATGATTGCTTTGTAAAACTCTATGATCATTAGGATTAATGTAATGTATTATACCAGAGAGGAGTTTTATTGTATGTTTGAGGCATCAAACAGCAAAGTTGCAGAACAACTTAAAATTTTTAACGGAAAAACAAATAAAAACTTACCTAATGTTGAGGTATCCGTAGGTGTTGCATGAAGATTAGGGTTGAACTGTAATATAGAAAGTAAAAGGATGAAATTAAACCAATTGTAAATTAATTTTATTATAGAGAGATTTAATTGCAGGAAGGAAATGAATTTTAATATGTTTAACCTAATTAATGCATAACAATTAATGGCAAATGATTGATTTGAAAGTGAAAAAAGTCTATGGAAATGAAGCTTTATATGTTTAATGTATAGTTGGATGTTATAACAGGGAAACTTAATACGTTTACTTATGGTAATTAAAATTTAATGTTTAACATGGTTGCAGCAGCTATTTCCTTTATAAGTTTGGAACTAAAGGTCACTGGCCTTTGTGTTAAACACAGCATATACGTGGTATACATTTTAGTTCATTTTTAGTCTGGACTACAACTACAAAATAATCTATAACCAGGGTTTTGGTCTAGTATATATATATAGTCTGGACTACAGTCTATAGTCTGGACTATAATATAAACAATAATATGGAATATAGCCTAATCTCCAGTGTTGTCATTAGACTAATCTGTAATTTAGTCTATAGTCTAGCCCATAGCCTAGCCTATAGCCTAGCCTATAGCCTAGTCTATATTCTAGCCTATAGTCTAGTCTATAGTATAGTCTATAGTCTAGTCTATAGTCTAGTCTATAGTCTAGTCTATAGTCTAGTCTATAGTCTAGTCTATAGTCTAGTCTATCTAGTCTATAGTCTAGTCTATAGTCTAGTCTATAGTCTAGTCTATAGTCTAGTCTATAGTCTAGTCTATAGTCTAGTCTATAGTCTAGTCTATAGTCTAGTCTATAGTCTAGTCTAGTCTATGGTCTAGTCTATAGTCTAGTCTATAGTCTAGTCTATAGTCTTAGAGTCTATAGTCTAGTCTATAGTCTAGTCTATAGTCTAGTCTATAGTCTAGTCTATAGTCTAGTCTATAGTCTAGTCTATAGTCTAGTCTATAGTGTCTATAGTCTAGTCTATAGTCTAGTCTATAGTCTAGTCTATAGTCTAGTCTATAGTCTAGTCTATAGTAGTCTAGTCTAGTCTATAGTCTATAGTCTAGTCTATAGTCTAGTCTATAGTCTAGTCTATAGTCTAGTCTATAGTCTAGTCTATAGTCTAGTCTATAGTCTAGTCTATAGTCTAGTCTATAGTCTAGTCTATAGTCTAGTCTATAGTCAGTCTATAGTCTAGTCTATAGTCTAGTCTATAGTCTAGTCTATAGTCTCTCTATAGTCTAGTCTATAGTCTAGTCTATAGTCTAGTCTATAGTCTAGTCTATAGTCTAGTCTATAGTCTAGTCTATAGTCTAGTCTATAGTCTAGTCTATAGTCTAGTCTATAGTCTAGTCTATAGTCTAGTCTATAGTCTAGTCTATAGTCTAGTTCTATAGTCTAGTCTATAGTCTAGTCTTATCTAGTCTATTCTAGTCTATAGTCTAGTCTATAGTCTAGTCTATAGTCTAGTCTATAGTCTAGTCTATAGTCTAGTCTATAGTCTAGTCTATAGTCTAGTCTATAGTCTAGTCTATAGTCTAGTCTATAGTCTAGTCTATAGTCTAGTCTATAGTCTAGTCTATAGTCTAGTCTATAGTCTAGTCTATAGTCTAGTCTATAGTCTAGTCTATAGTCTAGTCTATAGTCTAGTCTATAGTCTAGTCTATAGTCTAGTCTATAGTCTAGTCTATAGTCTAGTCTATAGTCTAGTCTATAGTCTAGTCTATAGTCTAGTCTATAGTCTAGTCTATAGTCTAGTCTATAGTCTAGTCTATAGTCTAGTCTATAGTCTAGTCTATAGTCTAGTCTATAGTCTAGTCTATAGTCTAGTCTATAGTCTAGTCTATAGTCTAGTCTATAGTCTAGTCTATAGTCTAGTCTATAGTCTAGTCTAAAGTCTAGTCTATAGTCTAGTCTATAGTCTAGTCTATAGTCTAGTCTATAGTCTAGTCTATAGTCTAGTCTATAGTCTAGTCTATAGTCTAGTCTATAGTCTAGTCTATAGTCTAGCCAATAGTCTAGTCTATAGTCTATTCTATAGTCTAGTCTATAGTCTCTAGTCTATAGTCTAGTCTATAGTCTAGTCTATAGTCTAGTCTATAGTCTAGTCTATAGTCTAGTCTATAGTCTAGTCTATAGTCTAGTCTATAGTCTAGTCTATAGTCTAGTCTATAGTCTAGTCTATAGTAGTCTAGTCTATAGTCTAGTCTATAGTCTAGTCTATAGTCTAGTCTATAGTCTAGTCTATAGTCTAGTCTATAGTCTAGTCTATAGTCTAGTCTATAGTCTAGCTAGTCTATAGTCTAGTCTATAGTCTAGTCTATAGTCTAGTCTATAGTCTAGTCTATAGTCTAGTCTATAGTCTAGTCTATAGTCTAGTCTATAGTCTAGTCTATAGTCTAGTCTATAGTCTAGTCTATAGTCTAGTCTATAGTCTAGTCTATAGTCTAGTCTATAGTCTAGTCTATAGTCTAGTCTATAGTCTAGTCTATAGTCTAGTCTATAGTCTAGTCTATAGTCTAGTCTATAGTCTAGTCTATAGTCTAGTCTAGTCTAGTCTATAGTCTAGTCTATAGTCTAGTCTATAGTCTAGTCTAGTCTAGTCTATAGTCTAGTCTATAGTCTCGTCTATAGTCTAGTCTATAGTCTAGTCTATAGTCTAGTCTATAGTCTAGTCTATAGTCTAGTCTATAGTCTAGTCTATAGTCTAGTCTATAGTCTAGTCTATAGTCTAGTCTATAGTCTAGTCTATAGTCTAGTCTATAGTCTAGTCTATAGTCTAGTCTATAGTCTAGTCTATAGTCTAGTCTATAGTCTAGTCTATAGTCTAGTCTATAGTCTAGTCTATAGTCTAGTCTATAGTCTAGTCTATAGTCTAGTCCATAGTCTAGTCTATAGTCTAGTCTATAGTCTAGTCTATAGTCTAGTCTATAGTCCAGTCTATAGTCTAGTCTATAGTCTAGTCTATAGTCTAGACTATAATCTAGTCTATAGTCTAGTCTAAACTCTTGTCTATAGTCTAATCTATAGTCTAGTCTATAGTCTAGTCTATAGTCTAGTCTATAGTCTAGTCTATAGTCTAGTCTATAGTCTAGTCTATAGTCTAGTCTAGTCTAGTCTAGTCTAGTCTAGTCTAGTCTAGTCTAGTCTAGTCTAGTCTATAGTCTAGTCTATAGTCTAGTCTATAGTCTAGTCTATAGTTTAGTCTATAGTCTAGTCTATAGTCTAGTCTATAGTCTAGACTATAATCTAGTCTATAGTCTAGTCTAAACTCTTGTCTATAGTCTAATCTATAGTCTAGTCTACAGTGTAGTCTATAGTCTAGTCTATTATCTGCTCTTTACTCTATTTTATAGTTTAGTCTCTAGTCTAGTCTCTAGTCAAGTCTATAGTCTATTATATAATCTAGTCTGGATCTGGTGTACATTCTATCTTTTTATATATCTAATAGTTTAATAGAAGTCCTGCAGTAATAACTTCATTATAACCTCACATAATAACCAAAATTATCAATATAAATATCATCATCATGAATATAATATCACCAACATGAAAATAATAATAATTTTATTACCCAAATATTTCATTTCTTACATTTTTATTACCGCTATTCAAAATAAAAAGCTTCCTCAATTATCCATGGGGAATACAAACATAGAAAAGAAAATAGCAAAAAAGCTTTTTCATATAACAAAATATGTTGATGCAATAGCAAAAACAACAACAACAATAGAAATGCAATGCCCAACAACAATAAGCAGGCAGTAGAAAACAAAAATAAAATGCATTAAATTATTATCATGCAATTACCAATACAAAGAGACAAGTAAACTTTAACTTGGCCATGTAGATTGTAGATTTTCATTGTTGTTGTTGTTATTATTATTGCTAATGCTAATGGTTGCTGTTGTTATTATATGCACATATTTCTAACAGTAAACTTCACTCTTAATTTCATTAGCACACACACACAGACACATGCACAAACACACTTAAACCTTTACAATGAATGCATTTGATTATTTTTGTTATAAATCATAGAAGAAGAACAAGCTTTGTTATCTCTCTCAACAATAAAATGCATTCTCTTCTATCGATGTATGTTGTTTTTTCATTTGCTCTTTTTATGATTAAACGCTTTTGCTCTCAAATTTTCAGTTTAGTTTTCAATTGAAATGCTCTTTTGCATTTTTTTTTTCATTTTTTTTTATTAATTTTTCCTATTATTTAATATGAAAATATTAGAAATATTTGTTGTTATTGTAGATTTACCAATAGCCTCGTATGGTTTGTCTCAACAACGTAAACGGCTGATATAATAAAGTTATAGACAGGGCAACCGAAGTTGTGTAAAAGGAAAATAAAGGGTTTTGAAATTATACATTATTGTTTCTTAGACCAAATGTTTACATTTTTATATATTATCATTCAAAAAGCCTCAACTACGTACTATCACTTCTCATTAATTGAATACTTTAGCTTTTTCGGTTTTTTATCCCACTGTTCATCTTTTCATGCTAACATCTTATTACTTAAAGAGTTCTCTACAAACTTACCAAATTTTGTAAGAATTTATTAAGCCAATGGGGCGTATGATTAATATTAACTTTTTAAAAAATTTTAAAAGTTAACCTATAAATTTGGTATTTATAGAGGGAATTTTAAAATTCAAAAGCATTTTGAATGAGAACTATTTTGTCTTTACTGTAAACTATATAGAACTTTACCAACTATACAAATTGATTTCATAATCTACATATGGAAATGAATAATAGACTCGACTATAGTCCAGAATATGGACTTGACTATAGTCCAAAATATAGACTTGACTATAGTTCAGAATATTCCAGAATATAGTCTTGACTGTAGTCCTGAATATAATCTGGAATATAGTCTAGAATTTAGACTTGACTATAGTCCAGAACAATGACTTGATTATATTCCAGACTATAGACTTGATTATAGACTCGACTATAGTCCAGAATATGGACTTGACTATAGTCAAAAATATAGACATGACTATAGTTCAGAAT